GGGGGGGGTCATGCTTGTGCTTTTAAGGTAGCAAACCTGATTACACGCTGTCGGGGAGGGAGGGGAACAACAAAGACAGAACTGAGTTCACTAGTGGTGTGTCAGGAACCCTGAAACATCTTCACACCTGTGCGGACGCACATTCACTGAGGAATTCGCTACAGCACAGCATTGCAAATACCCCAGGGCCCTTCAACAGGGCACCAGGCACTTCCGCTTCTCTAGTGCCCCACCTCCTCTCCACTTTAGATTAACTGGTGTGGGGGCCAGGGTGCCTCTTGTACATCAGGAATTCTAATCCTTCATGTTAGTATTTTTTGTAGGGACAACAACATCATACACAGCTTGATGTTCCAGCGTTAGAAGCAGGGGGAGAGAGAGAGAGAGAGAGAGAGAGAGAGAGAGAGAGAGAGTTGTCATGATTTGCAATGCCCAGCCCAGTCTGTGGTTATCCGAAGTCCAGCACTCGCCCTGCAACAATTGATCCCGGGTCTCAGGACCCAGATCACAAGGTTAACAAAACATGACAGACTTCTTGTCTTGAGACCAAAAGGTGGAGAACCAGCTGCAAAGGTCCTGGAAGAGACTTAGGAACTTGGGAAAAAAGAATACAGGAGCTCTCTTAGCAGTCTCTACTTAGGTCCCGACACAGAGACCCCACACCTCCAGGCCCCTCCAAAGCAGCCACACAGAGCAGGGCCGAGAATCCAGGAGAGACGAGGATGTGATGCTCCAGCAGGATTCTATTAGAGAGACCTTGGGTGAAGAAGACCAGGGATACCTAGTGTAAGCTTCAGAATGAAGTCTGGGTCTGAACCTCGGCTTGTGGGCTTGCAGCACAGACTTGGCCGACGCATTGAGCTTTTTAAATGTTCATGTTTCATTCTCCAAAGTGGGGGAAATAATACCACCACTGAATGTTCTCGTGAGGCATCAATATGGGCAGAATTAAGTACACGCCCACAAAATTGTGGCTGCTTCTTCTATGATGGTCATTACAGTAAGGGGGACAAAGACCAACCTCGCATGAAGAAACAGAGAAAAAGCACTTGGAGGAAAATAATACATCCCCTAAACTCTCCTGAGCAGCTTGCTGGCTTCCTGCCCACCGCTCACCCAGAGCCTCTCCCACCGTCCTCAGCACTCACCCCCGATGGCCCCAGCTCCTTGGAGACCCAGCAGGAAAGCCAGGGGGAGGGTGCTCAGGATCGCAGCTTTGTTCTGGAACATTCTCTCCTTAGAGCACGTGGTGAGGGGTTTGCAGTTGACAACTGCGAGGAAAGGAGCAGTGAAGAGGACCAGAAGTGGGGAGGAGACAGAGAAGAGCTCTGAAATTGAGGATTTCTACAACCTGAAAACAGCCAAAGAGGGAGGGGCGGAATCAGTACAGTTACTCGTAACCAATCAGAGAGGGAAAAGAGATGACGCTATCTGTTGCTGGGTAAACAAGACAGAAGCGAGCTGGAGCCCAGAGGAGGATTTTTGGGAACCAGAATGACCCAAGTAACTCCAGTTCACGGTTTGTTTTCAGAGCTGGAGAAGGAGATTTGAGTTTTACAACTTCTGATTCTGAGCTTTACTGCTTCTGATGGCAAAGGTGCTTGATCAAGCAGTTGTACATCTTCTTGAACCCTTATCAGAAGCGTTCAAATGATCCTTGACATTTTGTCCACTATTTTTTAAACAATTTAGGGTTTTTTCATTAAATTTATAAAAATATCCTACTTTTACTTAGGGATAAATGTACTACTTAATAAAATTAATTTTTATTAATTAATTTAATCCCCCATCTGAGATTTCTTCCATTTGTCTTTTAAAAAATGAAAAGTAAAAAGGACAAGAAAAAACTTAAGGCTTATTGATAGCAAGTGTTAATGTTTACTTGTTTGACCAATCTTGCATACCTATATCAGTTAATCTGAGTAACAGATTTGACAATAAAAATATATAACAACCATTGTTAATTTCTTATTCTTGTTTTGAAAATTTGGTACCATATGTACTATTTCTGTCTTTGCTTTTTGTTTTGTTGGGGGGGTTGTTTTGTTTTGTTTTTTTGTTTTTTGTTCTTTTTTTTTTTTTTTTTTTTTTCAGAACCGGGTATTGAACTCAGACCCTTGCACTTGCCAGAAAAGCACTTATCCTACTGAGCCATCTCCCCAGCTGTCTTTGGTTTTTTTGTTTGTTTTTTTTTCTTTTTATTAATTTTAGTGAGAAATAAATAGCTATGAGAGAGTTTCAAAACTGAGTGGTAGGACAGTTTCAATAATCAATACACTGCATATATTACAACAAAAAGGGGATGCAGTTGAATGTCCATTTTATATCTGTGTTTTCAAATGTCTAGAATCAATATACAGTTACATTCTCTTAATGAATAGAGGGATTTGTTCTAATGGTGTTTGTAAGTAGGATATCATGTCTGCATGTTGTACAGCAATTAACCACTAGGAAGAAGGTATATAATGTGTTAATTATTCAAACTGTCCTTCCAGTTTGGTTTGAAACTGTCTCATTGCTATTTGTTTCTCAACAAATTTGTGGAAAAAAATAAATAAATAAAACTA